ATCAATTTGCATTAGTGTAAAGTGTAAACATATATAGACTTAAAAACGTTGAATATTATTTATGATTTTAAATTTATACACAAGTGCCAAAATACTATAATCATATACAGGCTTGTTTTAGAGCAAAGCCACAGTGGGTTATCTACTGTTGTCAGGGTTTTATACATGTGTGGGGTAAGGGTTCTTCTACAGTAGATGTCTGTGACTTATTGGCGATAAATTTCAAAAATAAATGTACAGTACACAATCCACTTGTTTTAAAATAATATATTCAAAACAAATCACACGTATGTACAAAAATTCTTTAGACTATGGAATATCACAGTTGTATCTGAAACTCTAAATAATTCTCTTTTCTTGTCAAAAGTCCACTTAGGCTGGTTCAATTACTTTAGAATCCAATTGACAAGAACTTTTCCCTACTCATCACAATTGTATCAGTGAATAATTCACTAATGCTACCCCATGGGTTACCACAGTTGTATCCTGAACTTCAAATGATTGTCTCCTTTTCGTCAAAGTCCACACAGACGGGTTCAATTACTTTATAATACCCTTTGACAAGATAACTTATTCTCCTCATCTCTATTAATTAAACCTTGGAACTCACTTTAAAATATCGATCATTATGGCTAATCACTCACGCCCGCTAACTTCACGTTTTCTTTCGCTAACTAATTTTCTGACTGAACTGAATTACACTTTTCTTTCTACTTTACTTGCACTCGCCTATATTTATACTTTGCCCAACTAAGTCCTCGAATTTTCGACAAACTACGCAAGCGACGCTGTAAGGTAACAATACTCACTGAAAAGTAACGTGACGTCAACAATATTAGTAAAGTCTAGACAACAATGTAATTGCAAACACAACGTAAGACTCATACAGAGTTACGTAACGAAATTTGTCACAACTAACACTTTTAAAACAATCCATCTTCAATACTCCTGTCTTAGGAACTAAACAGTCATTAAATATTAACTCCCAAAATAAATTAAATAATAACGCCTACACTAAATAGTATTGTATACCCAACAACCATGTCCACCGAGGAGAATCGAACCCTGGATTTTAGCGTTGCAAACCCATACACTTACTGCTGTCCCACCGGGAAACAAGCCCAGGAGGCATTATCTTAATCCCGAAAGGGTGTTAGTAACGAGTTAACCCAAATCGTTAATTAAAGAAGTTTAATCACTGTATGACTTCCAGGCATTGTCTGTTTTTGTTATTATTTTAACATAATTGTATTTTAAATATCTAATATAATTTCTCCTTCCATTTTCTGTCCATTTTTAAATGCTTACTTTATCAACGGTTTACCGCACAATGTTAGATTCTATCACTGTTGCATAAGCTCTTAGGCCAGGACTTGTAATATGTACATAATAGTCTAAACCAAAGTGTTAACTTTTCAACACCATATTCACAACATACATATTCGAAGTTTCTTTCAAGACAACTACAATAGCATCATTTTACTGCGCTTGGTCTTTGTAGATTCAACTTTCAAGTCTCACTCATAAAGATTCTTTCATTGGTACCTAGAATGTGTCCCCTGGTGGTTTAGCGGTAATTAACGGCCTTACAACGCTAAAATCTAGGGTTCGATTCCCCACGGTGGACACAGCTGATAGCTCATTGCAGCTTTGCTCTAAAACGAACAAATGAACCTAGAATGCTGTTCTTAGATTTTCATATACATGTTTTTTCATTTATTTTTTGCTTTATCGTTTAGTTCTGACTACCACTAGTTATGCTCGATCCCTTGTGAGATTAGTTAAAACAATATTCAAACTATTTTCAAACATAAACACAGGCACCGGCTTTACACAGTTTCATTTCTTTAATGAATATAATCTCTTATTATCTTGAGACTTGAACATTCAGTACAAGTGACAAAATTCCAACTCAAGTTCATACCACTGACCTCATACCTTACCAAACCTACTATGCACCTTTCTTCAAGTCAATTGAAACATAAATGGCTTTTTGTTTGTTTGATTTTGCTATGATATCAAAGCTCGAAAATGACATTGAACCAAACGATATATTTGGTTTGTTTGTTTTTGAATTTCGCACAAAGCTATCTGCGCTAGCCGTCCCAAATTTAGCAGTGAAAGACTAGAGGGAAAGGCAGCTAGTCATCACCACCCACCGCTAACTCTTGGGCTACTCTTTTATCAACGAATAATGGGATTGACCATCACTTTGTGACGCCCCCACGGCTGAAAGGGCAGGCATGTTTGGTGGGACGGGGATTCGAACTCGCAACCCTCAGATTGCGAGTCAAACGCCCTACCCACCTGGCCATGCCGGGCCGATATTTTTGATGTTACAAAATTTTTAGGGTTTAAGCTGTATACGATGATCGCAAGGTAACATTCCTAACAATAAAAACGTGTTATATTTTTGTTCAAAAGGTGTGACGTTCGGAACATTTTATACAGAATTTTTGTGGGATCATCTGACTTCTGGTTGGGAAACTATTATTTTGTATGGAACTTTTTCGCGTTAAAAAAAGAAGAAAGTTCTTTTCTGAAAACATCTACGTGAATAATTCCGCTGTACATCTTTGGAGGTTTCATTATTTATTTTTATAACTGGCAGCTAATTCACAAAATCTTAAAGCTTTAATTAGAAAACGGAATACATTTCTTTTAATAACATTATCGGTAAAATTAGAGAAGGATATTAAATAAGGGAAGGAACGCTTATGTTTTCATGTACATTTTTACACATCTATGACGTTGAAGTCTTTCTTTCACTGGATAATCAAGCAAATAGTAAATATTTTCTTATACCAAAGAAATAAAGCTTATAAAGCCCCCCCCCCCTCCTATAGCTCAGTGATAAGTCTGAGCGCTTACAACGCTAAAAAACCAGGTTTCGATACCCATGGTGGGCACAGCAAAGATAGCCCATCGTGTAACTCTGCGCTTGTCAACAAGTAAAACATAGATCTTTAAAAAACCACGACATGCATGTGGTTCCTCTTTGAATTTATTAATATTAATACATAAGCTTAACTATTTTATCTCGAATAAAAGGAAACAAACTGTATAATCCCACATTACAACAAAATTTGCATGTAACCATGTAATTCTTATACATAATATACTCACAAAAGTACTCAACAGCGTTTAAGACTAAAATTTAGTAATCTCTTGATTTTAATTACCGACTATAGAGCAAATACGATGGCGACATTCTGAATTTACTCATGCGCAGTAATCGTAGCCTACTTCAAAATAACGATACCCTGGCGATTAAACAAAGCACGACTATGAGAGGTCATGTGAAAAAAACACAATGTGCAAGGACAAATGGGCGTTGCGTGAAATAACAAAGAAAGTAATAACTAGGATGTCGAGGTTTTGTTATGGAGAACAAGAAATGAAAACTGATGACATACGCAACTTCTACGTGAACT